AACAAAAGACCATGGGCTCCTTGCAGGCAGACACGAGTAATCATGATGGCAATGACAACAGTTCTGATGGGTCACTGGGCCCTTCTTGTGTACCAGCCCCACAGCTGAGTGATTTACACAATTTCTCATTTAGTATTGATTATCTCACTCGGCAGATGAAGAAATTGAAGCTCTGAGAGGTTGAGGAACTTGTCCAAGATCACCCAGCTAGAAAATGATAGAACAGGAATTTTAACCATATCTGACTGTAAAGTCCGTGCTTTTCCACACTGTGCATACTCTTTGTCACTGTTGGTTGTTTGATTCAAATTTCCTTGAGTGCTCTTCACAGCTGCATCCCTGGGGTTTTCGTGTGGTGGTGGAAAAGCCTCCTGTCAATAAGAAAGCTGATAGTATTCTCCCAAGCCCAGATGGTTGGTTGGGATGAGAACACTCCAAGCTCTCTGTGTGTTCTTCCCACCCCCACTTTCTTGCCTCTGCACACCCTTCTCTGCCCCACAACCTCTCTCTCTCTCTCTCTCTCTCTCTTTCTCATCCCTTTCCCTGGGGACATCTGAGCAGCCAGAGGACTCTCCCTAGATGATCGAGGATCGTCAGCGGGTCTAACATCTTGTGATAGCTTTGGTAAGAAAATGGAGCCATGGGTCAGCCAGAGTCCCCGAGGAGAGAATCCAGACTGAAGACCGAACTCCCATACCCCGTCTGGACCCTTTCCCGTCACAGCTCCCCTTCCCTTCCCCGACTCAGAATCCTTGTCTGGGGACTCCAAAGCCTCTGGGCTCAGCCTCACCCCTCTCCCAGCATCCTAAAGTTTGGGGGCTGCATTTAAGTGAGAGATTTCCAAGTCGAGGTGTGTTAGAGAGACTTCTGAGAGCAGCTTGTCCTGCAAGAACAGGGGAAAAGTGGCAGCCATCGCTGCTGTGTCTGAGGACATCAGCGGAACTTCCTGGGAGACCCTCTGCCCTTTCCCCTCCCACCAGCCCAGGGAGCGGGGACCAAGCTTGCTTATTGTCACCTGACGCTGGGCAGCCACTGATCCCATTGGTGGAGCCAGATTCGGTCTGGCTCTCTCGTTCTTTCTCGCCTTCTCTGCCTCTCTCTCTCTCTCTCTCTCTCCTCCACGCTGCTTTGATTTCGCTCTTGCCTCTCCTTGCACTCGGCTGGGAACATCGCCTCTCTGGGGGCAGCAGCCTGCGTGCGCTGCAGAGCCAGGAGGGAGCTGCCTGCGGGGCATGGAAGAAGCCTCTTTGGCGGCCTCCAGAGGAGCGAGAAGAGCGAGAAGAGCGAGAGGAGCAAGCGAGCGCCACTGCCTGTGACCCAGGCGTCGCCGCTGCCCCTCTCCCTGGGGAGAGCACGTCCACACAGAGGTTTCTCCCTTCCCTCCCTTCCAGGTCTTCCTCCGCAGAGCCCGGTGGAGCCAGGTGAGTGCGCGTCCTCCCCAGAGCATCCCTCTGTCAATTCTGAGAGCGACTCAGGTGGCAAGGGGCTAGGAGCTGGGGGCATCAGGGGCCTGCCACCATCCACGATGCCCACCTAGATCGCCAGGGCCAACGACCTTGTCCCCCGTACCCCGTCCCCCAGGGCCTTGGCAAAGGGATTAACAGCTGGATCCAGTCCCCTGGGGCACCACAGTCAGTCACCCCGTGACCATTCTGCTGCAGTCAGCTATGCCAACGGGGACAGCGCGGTGGGGGTCAATGTCCCCCCTGGCCGGTGGGGGACTTTTCTGGAAGGGCATGGGCAAGGGCTGTCGGTGTGTACGGCACGTAGGCATGCTTGCGAGGAGACTGGAGGTTTGCTTGCGTAGATAGTTCTGTATGCACGCACTTCTGCTCTCCTGTGGGCTTCCGCCACTGGGGGGCCTGTTTAGGGACATATGTTTCTTGTACACGTGAACTACGTGTGTGGGGGCTCACTTCTCTGAGTAGCCTCTGGGTTCCGGGGGTGGGGGCAGTGTGAGGCGGTGTATTTATGGAGTGGACATATCCTTGTCATGTGTGTGGGAGGACATGGTGAGGAAGGGATTGCATGTAACTAAAGGGTTTCTATGTGGGGAGGGGCAACTCCGGAGCAGAAAGGGGTAGGTAGGTGGAGAGTGTGGGCAGAAGCCACTGTCTGTGCGCAGACCCACGTAGCTGTGCAAACCTGTTGGCATGTGGAGGATCGGGGCTGGCAGAGTGTGGCTAGGGACAAACCAGATTTTCAAAGTCTGGCTCTCTGAGCCTGGAGAAGATTTGAGAGAGGCTACCGGGATCTGGGCGGGGGTGGACATGTGTGTGAGTGTGCATGTGTGTGTGCAAGCCGGCGTGTGAGTTGCGTGCCTTGCGTGGAGGAAGCACAGGTGCCTGTTGGCGCCTGTGGCTTTCTTTTTTTCCCCAAATATGGCTTGCAACTAGGTGTGCATGCATATGTGCGTGTGTGAGCCTGTGGACTTCAACATGTGTGGGTCTGGGTGGAGGTGTGACAGCTCGTAGAGGGAAAACTGAGGGACATTCTTAGACTGTGGAAGGTGGCGGAGGCACCTGAGTGCATAGGTGAGTGCGTGGGAGTGAGGCTGTCTGAGGAGGTGTGGGCAGCCCTTGTGTGGCAGGTGTGGGTGGGCACATTCGGCGCATGTGTGTGCGTGCGTGTATGTGTGTGCACTCATGGGCCTGCCTGTGTGTGGGTGTGTAAGTGCTTGTCTTGGCAGTGTGGGTGTTTCTCAGGTGCTGTCTCAACCTGTCCCTCACACCCTGACGTTCCCCAGGCACCTGGACTTGGAGAACTGGGGCTCACACCCACCCTCGGTCCACCCTGGCTTTGCTGTTCTCCCAAGTGTCACTCACGACCACTCTCCCAGGCTAGCACAGGGGGAGTAATCTCAGCGCTGCTAGAACTGTAGAAAGGAAATGATGAGCCAGCTCCTGGAGTCTGCACCCCCCCCCAAAATGGCTGCCCTTCTCTCTGGTGGAGAGTCTGAGGAGAGGAGTACTGAGGCAGGAATAGGTGCCCACCTGTGAGGTAGGCAGAGACTGAATCTGCTGTGGGTGGGAGGTGGTCACTCAGGCCCTCTGTGGGGTAGGAGTGTGTCTGTGTTGGTGTGTGTGTGTGTGTGTATCTGTGTGAGTGTCTGTGTGCATACGTGTGTCTCCCTGGGAAGCTCCTCACTGGAAGCCCAGAGCATACCAAATCCCCAAGTCTCCACATCTGTCCCCATGAATTATAAACTGGTTTATTACACAGTTGTTTCACAATCCTATCCTGCTTTATTTTGGGATGGACCTGGTACACCCCCATGCTTGTTTATCACAGGACTCCCTGTGCACAAGCCACCGACGTGTGGCTGAACTTCATGACAGGTAGGCTTAGAGTAGGAACCCAAGATGAAACTCAGGCTCAGGGAGCATCCTGGAACAGGTAAAAGCCATCACCCATATCCTTCCCTCTGTGCCTGCCACTCAGGCGCCCACGGATGAATTTAGCCCACCAGGCTCCACAACAGGCTTTAACTGACAGGCGAGTGTGGGTTGGATCTTCTGGAAGCTATAAATAGAAGTACCTGCTTTTGAAGGCACGAGGTACCCTCACCCTTAGCACCTGGGGAAAAAGAGGAGAAGCAGCAGAAGGGGGAGAAAAGGAAACAACATTCCAGAAACCTGAGGTGTGCTGGGATGGGGCTTTAGAAGGAACCGGGAAGGCACGAGCTCCACTGGGCACTAAGCAAATGGCCGGAGGCAAGTCCAACCCACGTTCATGTTCTTGTCCCACAGACAGTCCCGCCCCTCTCCCTGCCCCTCTCCCTTCCCACCCTGTTCCCCAGAGCTCATGAGCCAGGCCACAGTCAAGGCCAGCATTAGCTCTTGCTAGCTAAAGCACAGGTGAGCGCCAGTGGTGTGGTCCTCTGATCTCTGAATCAGCAGCCCAGGTGGAAGCAAAGGGGTGAGAGAAGAGGAAGATGAGAGAAAATGTAGTTACTCGAAAGGGAAAGACAGAAGAAGAAAGATAACAGTAAAACCATGTGCACTGACGCATATACACATGCCATGCACATCACACACATATCTCACACACACACAAGGGGACACAACCTTAGCTCAATGACTAAGAGTTTGGGCTCTGGAGTCAGATGTGAGTTCAAATCACTTCCTAGCTGCATGACCTCTGGCATCTCAGTATCCCCCCAACCTCAGTGAACCCATCTGTAAAATGGGGATAATAATAGTACTTACCTATGGTGAGGCTTGCTTGAGATGATACTTGGGCAATTATTACCACAGATCAGCCTGTCGTGGATGGCAAAGGTAAACCGAATTATTTAAACAAGTCGAGCAACAAAGGATCAGCTGAGAGGAAAGAGTGACAGTTGAAAAGTTGGGGGCGGAAGAAGAGCTATGGCCGGTGCTGGCCCCTCCCGCCACTGGTATATCCATGTGCATCTCCGTGGCGCTTGGACTCCCAGCCTTGGATCTTGGCAACCCTCCCTGAGTCACCCTGAGGGAGGAGGGAGGTCTGAGCCCGAGCGGCCTGGCACCCTTGGCCTCTTGGCTACTGGGGCCCTCTGCCCACCTCAACCCTCATGCTGGTCTCCTCAGTGGGTGCTTCCTGTCTCTCCTATACCGCCTCATACAGTTCTCTCCACCCCCCCCCCCTTCTCTTTTCACCCCTGCTGGCTGAGGGCTCCCCCCTCGGTTCCATCTGCTGCGAATCTGTCCTGTCGGCGTTTGCAGCATTCCCACTGCCTCGGCCACCTGTCAGGTGCCGTCTGCTCTGCAGACCCCTCTGAGGAGAGCCAAGAGCCCCCCCCCAGGGGGGACACCCCATCCCACCCTTGGTCCTACCCCTCTATCTTCCCATGCACTCTTCCCATCCGATGCAATGAGGCGGGTGCAGTCAATGGATTCCCAAGGTTCCAGTTTGCAAAGCATGTTGGGAACGAGACATTCCAGAAAACTCTGGTGGGGAAGAAGGGGCTAATTCTTCCTCTCCCCTCAGTCCCCACAGGAGCCAAGCCAGAGGGGAGCATGGAGCTGCTGTCCACGCCCCACAGCATTGAGGTCAACAACATCACCTGTGACTCCTTCCGCATCTCCTGGGCCATGGAGAACAGTGACCTGGAGAGGGTCACCCATTACTTCATTGACCTTAACAAGAAGGAGAACAAGAACTCCAACAAGTTCAAGCACCGGGTGAGTAGAGGGTGCCCAGAGGGCCTCTCGATCATACCCCTCCTTGAAGGAGTCAGGGTAATGGAGTGCTGTGTGGTGATCGTCGGGAGTCAGACAGGCCTGGTTCAAACCCAGGCTCTTCTCAGTGTGGAAACTTAGGAAAGTTATTTAGCCTCATTGAGCCCAAGTCCCTTCACTGGTAAAAAGGGAATAATAATGCCAGCCGCCATGGGCCTGTGAGAGGCTTCCGTGAGGTAATGTTCGCATGGTGTCTGGCTTGGGGCCGAGCTACCGTGAACACCATGATCGGCCTCACGACTGGGCCTTCAGACGGGGTGGGAAAACCTGAGGGGGGCCACAGACACCACACCTGGGGCTGGTGTCTCAGGGAATGACAAAGCCGCTGACTCAGGAAGCAGCTTTGTTGTTGACTGTGTGGGCGACACGGGCCATGGGAGGACTGGGGCTCTTTGCTTGGTCCTCACTGACCCCTCTTAGACTGCTGTGATCCTCTCAGCCCCCGGCCCTCTGGCCTACTGGTGGCTGGGTTGAGGAGAGCAACATGGCAGAGTCCTCCGCTGACTGGGGTGTCCTTTCCCTGGGTTAAAGCCGGTGTGGGGGTGGGTGGGAGGAAGGCTCCCATCTTCTCACACTGGCAGAGGGGAAGGGGAAGAGTGAGGTGGGAAGGAGCTGGTTCCCACGACGACTGCATCATGTGGGTTACTCACCCTCTCTCTCTTTGGAACTGGCTCTCCCGATCTGGGTGTCTTTTGGCAGGCCAGTTGCCACGGTGACGTGAATGTTCAACACCACCCCCTTAACCCTCCCCCCCCCCCAAAGAATAAGGCATATTTTCCCTTCCTCCCTGGCTCTCAGCATTTGCTGTTGCCGTGGAGACGGCACTGCAGTGTGCAGAGCTCTCGAAGTCTCCCTCGAAAACGGAGGTCTCAACGTGCTCAACTTTTCGGCCTCCACCCCCGTGGCCTTTCTCCTTAGCTCCCAAGAGAACGGGCATCAGGGGGCCATTATGAGGGGTGGAGGCTGGGGGTTATCTGTATGGCCTTTCCAATGGCCACTGCTTGCTTCCGCAGGAAAATGGTGGCCAGGGCACCGAGCCATTGAATCATGGAGATTTTGGCCCTCCTCAGGCAGCCTAGGGGCTGGCTGGGGAGCATGAGGCCTGGTGGAGTGCCAAGTTTGGGAGTGACCCCCTCTTTGACTCTAGGCTCTCTGCATCCCATTTCTCAGGATGTCCCCACCAAGCTTGTGGCCAAGGCCGTGCCACTGCCCATGACCGTGAGAGGCCACTGGTTCCTGAGCCCCCGCACGGAGTACAGCGTGGCTGTGCAGACGGCAGTGAAGCAGAGTGACGGGGAGTACCTGGTATCTGGCTGGAGCGAGACGGTCGAGTTCTGCACCGGAGGTGAGGCCCTGCTCTCCCGCTGCTTTGACACATCAGGCTTAGTTAGGGTCAGGAGGGGGCTGTGCCTTAGCCCTGCAGCCGCTTATGAACACCTCCTGAGGGCACTGGGCTTTGGCCGACAGGGCGGCCCCCATGGACGAGACCCACCACGCCTGCCCCCAACAAGCCTGCGGTCTGACACAGGAGGCAGACGTCAGGGCTCCTAGTTGTGTTGGCAAAACCACTTCCATATGGGGATGACCTTCTCTGGCTCGGGGCAAACATACTGTTCTGAATTGCGGTAAAATATACATAACACAGAGTCTCCCATTTCAACCAGTTAAGTGTGTGGGTCGGTGGCATTAAGTCCGTTCACAGTGGTTGTGCGACCAATCTCCAGATCATTTTCATCTTCCCAGATTGAAACCCTATACCCTCTACATGACAGGTCCCCTTCCCTCCTCACTTCAGCCCCTGGCAACCACCATTTCACTCTGTGTCTTCTGTAGCTATGACTATTCTTGGTATCTCCTGTGAGGGAAATCATGCAGCATTTGTCCTTCTGGGACTGGAGCGTTGGCTCTGTCATTTTACTCAGCATCCTGTCCTCAAGTTTGGTTCATCCGTGTTGAGCACGTGTCAGAACGTCCTTCCTTTTTAAGACAGAATAATAGCCCGTTGTATACGTAGACCGCACCTTGTTTATCCGTCATCCACTAATGGACAGTCAGTGAGTAGGAATAATAATAATAATCCCATTTGCTCGTCTCGAGTCTCCACTTAGCCGGGGAACATGACCCCTATTCAGGGGTCCTGCAAACCCTCTTAGCAGAATTTCGTTGGCAAATTCCAGCACGAATAAGCGCCAGGCTTATGTGTCCCCACCTGGTTTTGGATGACCCAGGATCTGCCCCACAAATAGTCCACTCTTTTGGTGTCCACAGTGAGAACTGCTCCAGATCTCTCTCTGTCACATGGAAAGGGCAGGGAATATTCTTAGCCCCAGGCTTTTGAGGCGGCTGGCTCCATCCTCTGCCAGGGCCCGTGCCCTAAGTCTCCTTGACTTGCCATTCTCTTTCAAGCAGTGCTTTTCCTTAGCTTGGCTGTAAAGCCCCACTCTGGGGTGCTCTTGCTCCCTGTGGGGAAAGCCTCTTGGTTTACCCCAGAGCCCCATCCGCAGTGGGAGTTTAATTCAAACTGGGGAGCTGGGGATGGCTGAGGTCCAGTCCCCACTCTTCTTGCCAAACCCAGCACCCTGGCCAAGGCTGCATCTGCAAAGGAGGAAAGGGCACCTTTTTCTAATCTGTACAAAGGCCCTGTCTTGGTTGGCAGCAGCTCTGCCTGGGCCCCAGGACTCCTCTTCACATGAGCATGGCCGGAGATCACAGCTCCTGGGCCCCCTGGTATGACTTTGTAACTGGGAAGCCCCTGCCCCTTTTGGACTCAGCGAGCCTGAGCCTCTGGCAATGGGAGGGCGGAGGTGATGAGGACGAACAGCATCCAGCTGTCCATGTTCCCAGCTGGGCCCCCTGGCCTGGTCCTATGTGGTCCAAGGTGCTGTGACTATTTGGTGTCCCCTGTTACTCTGAGGACAGGGGTGGGCTGACATAGTCTGTGTGCAGTGGGCGAGTGTGGGGGCAGGGCGAGGCTGTGATACCCAGCCTGACCCTGGGCTTACCAGCTGGGACTCTTGCAGATTACGCCAAGGAGCACCTGGCGCAGCTGCAGGAGAAGGCCGAGCAGATCGCAGGCCGCATGCTCCGCTTCTCTGTCTTCTACCGCAACCACCACAAGGAGTACTTCCAACATGCCAGGTACAGCGTGGTCCCCCGCAGGGCCCCGGTCTTGCTTTCCATCCCGCCTCTGTTTTGCCTGGAGGGTGCTGGCTGTCTCACGTCATGCCTACCTTGTCACTGCCAGCCCCTCCTAAGGAGACCCTATGATCTCTTACCCCAGGCTGGCTGCTGAGGACTGGGCTCCAGGGAAGGAAAGGGCTCTCGGGTTGGGGCTGCATGGGGGAACCATGGTATTTGGCCTGGTGAACAAGATCTTGGGTTTGCTCTTTCTTTGGGACAGTTCCTTTCACTGGGTTCTGATGCCAAGAGTCAGCTGTCTTTCCAATTCAGGCTCTGGGTTCTAGGGGAAGGTGGTGAGGGGAGCACAGGGCGAGAGGATTCTGTGCATGAACGGTCCTAGTCTTCAAGCTGTGTACTGTGGAGCCTGGAGTCTCCAGGGAGGTGTTGCTGGGCATTTTAGGGGGGTAATGAGGGGTCATAGGGGAAATCAGGGGGAGGCTTGGTGGGCCCCACACCTGTCGTTCAACTGAAGCAGCTTCAATTTCATTGCCTATCGACTGCCTACGTATAATATCCTTTGGGAAAGAGAGGGGCTCTGTAGTCCAAAAATATTTGATCCAATTGATGATCTGGTCCAACCCACCCAGCCTACAGATGGGGAGCCTGAGGCCCAGGGAGACAGTAAGTCACCAGTCACCTGGGACATCCAGGACACGACAAGGGTGAAGCTGTCTGGGGCTGCCCATCCCCCCAGGCCTGCTGCTCCAAGTCTATGCCATTCTAAGGCTGGGCTAGGGCAACCTGCTAGTCTTACTGTCTTTGTCATTGCATTCAGCTGGACTGGGGTGCTCCCACCCTACCCCGGGGTGGCAGGGAGCTAGTGGGGTCTTTGGTTTTTGTACTAAAGAAGAGAGGCAGCAAGGTGAATGGTGAGCACACTGGCCCAGTTCCAGCTCCTCTGTCAGCAAGCAGGCAAGAGAGGGAAAGCACCCATATGTGCCAGGATGTAAAGATGAATAAAGGACAGAGTCCCCCTCTTGAAAATCTGAGAGTCTATCAGTGGGACAGTACAGACAGACGGAATGTAAGAAGTACGTGTGATTGTTGGGTAAAATTCAGTGTCTGCACACAGTAGGCAGTCAAAGTTTTGTGGAATAGAAGTGCCTGATGCTCCTGGAAGATTCTGGAGAGGAGGGGACACCTGTACGGGGCCTGGAAGGATGATTAGGAGTTTACCGGGCCAGGTGAAGACAGGGGGGAAAGGCAGTCCAGGCAGAGGGAAGAGCACTGCAAAGGCACAGAGGCAGGAAAGTCGGGGTTCGTGTGTGGCTGGAGGATGTTACTTGTGGGTGTGGGGATGGTGGGAGGTGGGGTCAGAAAGACCAGATCTTGATGCCCTTGCTTTTCATGAAAGCTCCATCAAATGGTTTTAAGCTGAGGAGTGGTAGTTTCAGACCTCTCCTCTATGAAGGAGTGGGTTGCATCAGCCTATCTCCAGGGCTCTCCCCGCTCTCACATTCTGGAATGTTCTATTTGCGATGGACGGAGGCGGCAGCTGGTGGGAAAGCTGGGAGCCGTGCTGGCTCCTTTCTCAACCACACATAGCAGCCAAGGCTCAACCCAGCTAACCAGCAGCATTTTCTCTTCCCTTTGGCATTTTTCCCCTGGGATGGGTAGGACCCACTGCGGGAACATGCTGCAGCCCTACCTGAAGGACAACAGCGGCAGCCATGGCTCCCCAACCAGTGGCATGCTCCATGGCGTCTTCTTCAGCTGCAACACAGAGTTCAACACAGGCCAGCCTCCTCAGGACTCCCCCTATGGCCGCTGGCGCTTCCAGATCCCCGCCCAGCGCCTCTTTAACCCCAGCACCAACCTCTACTTTGCGGACTTCTACTGTATGTACACAGCTTACCACTATGCCATCCTGGTGCTGGCCCCCAAGGGCTCCCTGGGGGACCGCTTCTGCCGTGACCGCCTGCCCCTCCTGGACATTGCCTGCAACAAGTTCCTGACCTGCAGCGTGGAGGATGGGGAGCTGATCTTCCGCCACGCCCAGGACCTCATCCTGGAGATCATCTATACGGAGCCCGTTGACCTGTCCCTGGGCACCCTAGGGGAGATCAGCGGGCACCAGCTCATGAGCCTATCCACTGCTGACGCCAAGAAGGACCCCAGCTGCAAGACCTGCAACATCAGTGTGGGCCGCTAGGGACTCCTGGGGAGCTGGGGGGCTAGGGAGAGATGACAGGCAGGGTGGCGATGGGTGGCATAGGTTCAGGGAGCTGGCTTTCTCTCCCCTGCCCCCCCCCCCCCCGCTCCCTCCACGCCACGGCCTCCCCCTTTCCCACCCCTTGGCGTTAGAGGCAACAGAGGGTGTCCCCTTGGTAGGCGTGGCCTATTCACCGCCCCGGTGGACTTGGTAACGCTTCTTAGCCTCCGTAGGTTGGTGGAAGGAGGGTAGATTTCCGGAGATTTCCCCGTTCCTGGTTTCCCTCAATCCTGCTGTTTCTTGCTTCTTCCCAGCCTCCGTCTCATGGAAACTTACAGCCTGGGGGCTGTAGCTGAGCAGCCACCCCGGGCCAGAGCCCACGTGTTGCTTGTCCGCCCCCAGAGGCGCTGCAGAGAGCGGCCGGGCGCTCGTCTTTAGCCCCGCCCACCGCACTCAGGGCCAACCACAGAATACCCCTCCCCTCTGTGCGGGTCCCGGGGGCTGCAGACTCCAGGCCTGGCCCTTTTCCCTCTATACATAGTCTCCTGCACCGCTCTGACCCCCAGCTGCTCCTTGACCCCCAGCACCCTCTTCCTGCATGGGGAGAGCTGTCCTTCACCCCCCCTTCTCCACCTGCCCTCTAGAAAGGGGCCCTCTTTTTCCTCTTGGCTTTGGGGGTTCCGGGCTGTTGGGACTTTTCCTTTCTCGTCTGGAGATGCTGTATACCCCAGCGTATCTTCTCCCTTGCTCAGAGCACTGAGGTCTGCAGTAGCAGCCACTGGGGTCGAGGAGGGGGACAGAGACCCCTGAGACCCAGAGGTACCCCTTCTCAGCCGGAAGTGGGCCGCCTCCTGCCCTGAGGGGACCCGGTGTGGAACTATAGTTGCAGGGTTTCCGAAGAGCCCTGGCACCCTGCCTGACTGTGCGCTTTGCTCGCTCTCTCTGCCGCGGTGCGGTGACTGCACTGTGCCTGCGTGTGATCTGGACTGTGGCTTCCCTGCCACCGCACCTCACGCCTCGCCCACTGGCACTGTCTGCTCCCCACCACGAGCCTGTTGGCGGAGAGCCCCTTCCCTGGGGAGTTCTTCGAGAAGTCTTCCTGGGCCTCCCAGCGTTTTCGCCTATCTCCTACTTTGGTACGGGTCATGAAGGTGGTGAGGGTGGACCCCTGGGATAAGCAAAGGGGGTGGGGGGGGCAGGTGGAGGTGTGGATGGAGACAGCTAGCTGTTTGGGAGGATGGTGGAGGTGATGTCAGGCAGAGGACAGCAGCCCCCACAGTGACAGCCAGATTTCTGTAGTGAAGTACAGAAGGGGCCAGAAGGCCAACAAGGCCATATCTCAGTAAGGGCGCAGGTGGGACAGCTGGTCGCCTCTTGTGTAGCCACAGGGAGTGGTGTGGTCAGCTGTCTCCATGGCATGGAGCAGGTCTGGAGGCCCTGGGAGATGCATGGAGGAGAGGACATGGGCCCCCAGGCCTTTTCCCCCTCTGCTGACTGCGTTGCTGTGGGGGGTGGCCCTCTGCTCTCTCCTGGCCCTGTGTCTGCCCTGAGCTGGGGGCACACCCGCCTGTGTTGTGCTTGCGACCGTGCATCAATAAAGCGCCATGGCCTGAGAGCCTGACTCTCTGTGAGCTCTGGGAGGGGTGGGCAGTTGTACAGTCACAGAGGAACTCACCCAGGGACATCCCCCAGGACGAGACATCTGGAACCGTCTCAGGGTGTTCCAAATCTTGCTGCAGGAGGCAGGGCCCTATCTCTAGCTTGGAAGGGATTTTGGAGGTCTTTTGGTATTCCCCTGCACTTTGCAGAAGGGGAAACTGAGGCCTCTGAGAGGGGAACCTGGGGCAGTCTGGAGACACAACCAAGGTCCCCTGTTTGGAGCCCTTCCCCATGCAGCAGCCTGCCACCGCGTCAGACCCAGATGCTGGCGAATTTCCCTCCCCCAGAGCCCAACTCTCCCCTCCCCAGCAGGGCTCCTCATTTGCAGATCTGAGTCACCTCTGCGTCTATTATTATGGACTTATTAAAATGATCCTCTGCTGGAGTAGAAAAGCTCCAGAAAAATTAGAGTCACCTCGCTGACACTGCTGGCTCAGGACCAAATGAACATGTCATTCAGAGCTTGGGGTACAGCCTCCTTGGGCTAGGGGAAAGCTGAAGGGCAAGTGACCAATTCCGGAGGGCCTGCTATGGGCCAGGCATTTGGCCAGGTGCTTTCACACACATTGGTTCATGTGTTTACAATGGCCCTGTGCCGTAGTAGTCCCATTTAACAGATGAAGAAACTGAGGCACAAAAAGTTAAAAGGCTTGCCCATGCCTTCCAGCTGGCAGGCAATGATGCCTGGATTTGATTCAGGAGCTGGAATCTTCCCATTTCACTGTCCTGCCTCACCTAGTGTATGCCAGGAGCCACCTGAACAGTGTGACACGGACAGGCCGGTCTCAACACATGGCCCTTGAAAGGGTCTCCCCTGGACAGCTCTTCTGGCTGATCAAGGCTGCACCTTGATCTTGAATAACACCAGGGGGGGCTGTGGAGTCACAAATGCCAAGGTGCCTTCTTTTAAAGGAGTGGTGAGCAACACTGGGTGTCTAGAATTCCGCAGATTGGGAATGACCTCCAGGGCCCATCCTTCTCTCCTCTGGTCAGGAGACCCCCCACCCCACCCCAGAATCCTTCAGGGGTGCAGGGTTTTCAGAATCCTTCCCGGATTAGTCTTCCTTTTGTGGAGCCAACAGAAAGATTGGCTCCCAGTGTCCTCTTAGTGGGGGATGAAGGCAGCCAACTGAGGTGGGGGTGGGAGTGGGGCCACTTTCCTTGCTCTCTCCAGATGGCCGCTCTGCTCCGCTCGCCGGTTGCTGGAGGCGCTTGTCAGAGCTGGGTCAGGGCACGGGCTGGAATCTGGCCGCCTGGAGGTCCTTTCTGGCTCGTGCCCCTCTAATCTGACCTGATGGAGGGAGAGCGGTCTACATGCAAGCGAGCGCACGTGTGTGCGTGCCACACACACACACCACCTCCCTAGACACACTTGGCTGCCACAGAGAGCCACAAGGTAAGGGACGACCCTGAACTGTAGCTGCCACTGTCCAGCCGAGGGGCTGCCCGACTTAGACCTGCTAGCAGGCAGAGAGGGAAAATGAGGCAGTGGCCACCAAGGGGTGCCTTCAGGTGACAAGTGGGGTGTTCTGCTGTGGGGGCACAAATACAAAGACACACCTAACAGAGACACATGGTTGCATGCCCTCATGCCCCCAGCTGTCTGTTTCTGTCTCTCTGCTGGCATCTTTCTTTTTGTCTTGGATGGATGACAGTCTCCCCAAGGTAGTGGGTGGGGAGGTGCCAGTTCTGAGGACCCTCATGGTTTTGTGTGGTTTTGGTATGTGTCTCTTTTCCATGTTAGGAAAAAAGGTGGCAGGGGTTCCAAGGAAAGGGATGAGGAGGGACCATTCCCCCAAATGGAGAGAGGCCTTCAGGAAGCTGAACTGAGGTGATTGGCCATAAAACAGCTTGGCCACAGCATCTGGAGGAGATTGGAACCAGATGTTCCTGAGGTGGGGGAGGGGAGGCTGTGGGGCCGGGAGGAGATTGGAGCAGGAGAAGCAGGCTGGTCAGTAGGAGGCTGTTATTGGGGGCCTCGTGTCTCTCTGAGGAAGACATCTGGCTGCCCTCTCCCCACTCCCCAAGTCAGACACTATTTTTGCAAACTGGAGCAGCAAATCTTTTCACAGATTCTAGAATCAGCCCTGTGTGTAGGGACAGTCAAGCACAGGGTGTGACTTGGGAGGTGCCCAGAAAGGCTACCAGCTAGCCAGAAATGTCTCCTGCTGTCCCACAAGGCCCCGCCTTGCTGTGGGCCAAGCATGGCCTTCTCTGGCAGGAATACTTCTGCCCTAAGCTCCTAACGCTTGACTGGAAACTAGTGTACCCAGAAGTTTCCTTTTTGCATAGAAAGAGAATAGTCCAGGAACTGGAAAACTGTCTGGCAAAGAGAAGGAAAAGAAGGCCCAATATACAGAGAGCCTCCTATTTGCCAGGCACTGTATCAGGATCTCCTCTAAGGGCATCTCATTGTTTCCTTGAAACCCTGTAAGATGTTGTCATTCCATGTGTCTGGATGAAGAAACTGGGGCTCAGAGAGTTTAAAGGACTCACCCAGGGGCACGCAGCCACCAAAGGGTAGAGCTTGTGTTCGAAACTGGCTATATTTGCATGCAAGCTTATGACCTTTTGAAGAAAGAGAATCATATAGGGTTAGACGGAGGGGAAGGGAAAAGGAGGAAAGAGAAGGAAGAGGGTGGTGGTGTAGGGCATGTGACTTTCCTTCTACTATAGTTGAGCCACACTTGGCCCTAGGAGCTCCCCCGCCCCCTTACTGCTGAGGAACCCCACCCTTGGGCTGCTTGGAGCCTAAACCCTGGGTGTTCTAATCCACCTCAGCCATGGCAGGAAGGGTTGCCGGGGACAGGGGAGAGGCTTGGGGATCAAGGGCCGCAGGGAGGAGACAGCTGGCCAGCGCCATTGGACAAAGGATGGCAGAGCCACATCTCCTGACTGCCAGGCTAACGCTGTTGCCCCAGCCTCTGGCCTCTGTGGGCTAGAAAAGCACTCCCAGAGGCAGGACCCTGAAGGTCCATGGTGTGTGCTAATCTCAACCTGGGAGCATGGTCTGGGGCAGGTCCATCTCGGCTCTTCTACTCCTGGCCATGTACTCAGGAGTGAGGGAGCCCTCAGGGACTTGAAGATAGTTGGAGGAGCAAGCGTCCCTTTCCCTGACATGGAGTCAGCTCAGCTGCTGGGTGGCTAGCTGCACTGGAGTCAGCCTAGTCTAGAACCCAGAAGGTGAGGGTGGGTGGGGCTCTGAGGGCAGGCGTGCTGATTAAGTTCTGGAATTTGTATCAGTGGTCTGCACCCAGGTCCCAAGCAGCCTCTACCACTCAGAGGCAGCCTCTGAAGACAGGCCCAGGGCAGACAGCGAGGGCCCGCCAGCACGGTCCCTG